GAATTGGGTCACTTCAGGCTGCAGTGTGAACGTAGCCGAAATTACTATGTTAACAACTGTGTATATTTCATTAGATGGTTGGTAAAAAAAACAAAACTTGTATAATATGTTTCAAACCGCAATAAAGATCTTAAAAGAACGATGTATTTGATTATTTTATTTTTTACTGTACGACTTGGAATTATGGGTAATCCAGAGAGTAGATTAAATGGGGTGAATGGGGTGTTGTACTTCATATGGGGCCCACCCAGATAATGTTGCTTATGGGCCTATTGTTGTGTCATTTTGCGACATTGCTTAAGTGGAATGTTCTTCCTTATTTAACATTTTTATTTTCTATATGTAAACAATTACCTGACAACAAAAACACTGTGGCTAATTATGCACATCAATATACTAACATTAAAGATAAATACAGAATTCGTGCACTTTTCAGAACTAGATTTTGACTTATACGGTGTAAAGAGAAAATGATGTCTCTGCAAGTGATCTAGGAATATTCACTGAATCAGAGATAAATAACTACTTTAATAATAAGTAATCCATTTAATGTAGATATTAGCACATGTAAATATTCATTTTATGCAGAATAATTTTTAATAAAAGTAGGTGAGTAATGATAATGAATAAGATGTTCGCCACAGAATTCAAAACTGAACGAATTTTGTCCACTACACCTTTAATTTAGACAGCATGGATGTTTAAATATATGCGTCTATTTGTTAGTAAAGGCTGTAGGAAAGTATAGTTTGTCTTTATTTAGAAAATATGGATGTTGTGGTTGTTCATTTTCCTGTTGGAACAGTGTAAATTGACCCTCAGGTTCTGGTGGCTATCCACTTTTGGCCCCCCCTCAGCGTACATTGTTTATTGTCTGGCCACCTTTATTCAAATTTTCTGGCTATGCCTCTGATTATTATTTTCCAATTAACAGAGTTTAAGAAAACCTTTTGGGAAGTTGTCAAGCTAAATAATGTTTAGAGCTCAGTTAGATGAGCTAAGTTCATATGAAAACCTGTGTTCAGGTAATAAGTCATTTATTACTGCTGAAAACAAGATTAGGACTCCTTTATCACAGCTGCAGATAGCAAGCATTATCTTCAATCACATTTCATGCCTTTACTTTTTATTAACTTCATTTAAAAAACAATTTTTCTGAACAATTTAACAGAATTCCTGCAAAATGACAAACATATGATATGTGACCACAGTGATCACACAAATGCTGCTTTTTGTTAAATGTTTCCTGCAGCATTTTTATATTACTAATGCTTAATGCCTGAAAAATTAGGTAATTAAAACAGGGATACAATGTGTTAACAGAAAGAAGTATTTGGAGAAGAAATCAGCATACAAAATGAAAGATGCACAATATAGTTTTATTTACTAAGTAATAAACCACCTTATAATAGATCATGTGCTTGGATTTATATTAGATGTTTTATTCATCTTCCCTATTTTTATTCCCTAAAAATGTCATCACAGCCCTTTGATCTCATGTGATTTCTAATCTCATGTGATTTATTTCTATTTTAAAAATAGAAATACATTCCTTCAACTTAAGTCTTTTATGTAGTGCTAAAGAGCAAAAATGTTTAATTACCGATAAAAAAACAAGATCCTTCAACCCAAAGTTAAACTTACAAGGCACTCAGGAACTGTTTTAAAACTATATTTTTTTAACTTAGTTTATACCTTATCCTCCTGCTTTCGTACAGCTAACCACGTTGGTACTGATTTGATTCTTTGACAAATATATTTTGTTTTTGAACTGAATGCTCGCACGTCAAAGAATGTGATAAAAAAAAAAAACAAATTTGGGTTAACCTTGAAAAAAACCTGTTTTTATCAGAGACTCTATGTTTATGTCTCCTTATGATCTACAGTGGCCATCATGATGTGGTTTTCTCTGTATTTCTTTATGTTTGCTTCATTAGATCAACAGTTCCAAAATGGGTCCATCAAGCAGTCATCCCTATTGTGACATCTCTGGAACAATATGTTCCTCAGCCATACGCTGGAGAAATCCGCGGTCTGCGCTCTGTCCTCGGAGGAAACCTGTCAGACGCCATCCTCCTTAACTTTGCCTATGAGTTAACGGCGTACGTATAGTTTTGGATACATGTCTTAAATTTGTAAATTGATTAATCCTTCTCCTTCCCAAAATGATTAACATATAAACAGCCATGTCCATTTAAGCCATCCAACCTTCTGCTTCTATAGATTTTGCACCAGCATCGTGGCTCAAGATAAAAATGGTAACATCTACCATGGGAGGAATCTGGACTATCCCCATGCTGTTCTGAGGAATATGACTGTGAATTTACACTTTCAGAAGAACGGGAAGGTAAAATATCAGTCCAAAGTTAAAAGAGTTCTTTAAAAGAATTTATGGAAAGTAAAAAAAAAAAAAAAAACAGAACTTCAACCACAGACTATTTTTCTTGTTGCTCTAACATAAAATTGTTACCATGATAAATTCAAGACTGAATTTAGCTCTCCTGTTATGGAAAGCAAAATCCTTTTTAATTGCAATAACAGCGTTTAGAATATAAAATTTTAGCCTTGAGTTTATGAGCATTTTCTTTAGTGGAAATAGATGTGATGTCACACTGTGTGTGGCAGAGACAGGGAGTTTCTCTCATTCAAAAATGAAAAAAGCGATTTAGAGATTCACTTCCATACCGAAAGCCCATATTCTTATCTTCAGGTAACACAGAGTACATGTCAGATTAAATAATATTACTTCAGCGATAGTATCTAGGTGTTATTTTATTGTATGTATTTCTCATACCATGTCTGTTGGTTGTGCTGTTCTTTTTACATCTCTTTGCAGATGATAAAGAAGACTGAAAATGTTTTATCGTTATCTCCTTTTTATCTCCTCTTTCTTTCATCTTTTCTCCTTTTTTTTCTGTTTTTCCTTTCCTGTTCTACTTACATTGCAGTGTCCATATAATCTGCAAAACTCCCTGCATAATCATAATAAAGCTATTTATATGCAAGAAACAAGCGAAACACTATGGCGATAGCCGCACTATAACCGCACTATAACCCCCGTTCTGTTTCCAATATTAGCAATTAGCAAAGTTAACATTATTACAATAGAAGTCTGCATGCGTAACCATGAAAATATAGATCTATGCATTAACTGAGATGTTACAAATCCAAAATGTTTAATGAATGGCAGAGATGGAAGGGTTAATAGAACTCAAACAATAACTTTGTTTAAATGCGTTTATTTAGTGCTTCACTAATGTTACAAAAAATCTCAGATATGAGGTGAGACCCTGTGGCCAAAGGCTCAGTCTCCCACTCAAAAAGATGATTTTTAAATGACCAAAGCTGAAACCGAAGGAAACAACAAAGCAGTGGCATAAAGAGCAGTCTGACTGCTGCAGTGTTCAGATAAATGGCACACATGTTTCTGTTGCAAATATAGTTTTCTATTAAATGCTGCAATGCTTTTCTGCCATGAGGGAAAAAATAAAGAAAAATTGGACTGATATCTGATATTCATTGTGGCCAAAAAAAATGATATATATTCCTATATATTATTGATTAAAGGAATAGTACACCCAAAACATGATTAGCCTTCATTTTCTACTC